GGTAGGGCCCCTTGTTCATGAAGCGCATATATGTAGCGCATTCTCCCTAATTTGAATTCGAACACTTCGAATTCACTCGTCACAATGTTCTATGGTTTAGTTCGATATGAGCTAGTAGAGGGACCTAACGGACCTATAGATCATGGGCTCCAACAATCCAAAATTAATCGATTAAACTCAAACTTTGTTAACCAACATTCATTAACTACTGGACATTCCTCTATAGCCTAGTAGTTGCACTCCCCTCACTATATATATATTTCTGTCCATTTGATACAACTATGATTAGTAAGTCGATCCTTCACAGGTTGTTCGTAACTAGAGCTGGGTCAATTTACCGTTCTACCCCTAAAGTTACTTCTTGTTTCTTATGTCTCACTGATCCTCTAATGAACAATTGGTTTGTGGTCCAACCAATAAACCGAATCCTTCTCAGGCCAATGAGAGGGTGGGGCCCCTTGTTCAAGACTTGGAGTCAGTACTTAAGAAAACTACCTCTCTTCTATCCCTAAAAGTGGGTAGAAGTGAATTCCATCTTGCACCCCCACGTCCCCAGCCATTTACCCAGTCTTACCCCGGTGAACTTGAGCCACTCTCACCCATGCAAATCTAAGGATAATTCCAAAAAAACAGGAGTTCATGGTTAGCTCAGGATTAAGATCGAGTCACCTAGGTCATCGAATGAAAAAATCAGTCTCAACAGTAAACGACATTATGAATAAGAGTTTAAGTTAAAAACATCATAGTCTAGCCTAAGTCTAAGAAAACAAATACCACTACCCTATGCATGTGCCATGGTCTCGAGTTGCGATGTGATCGTCATCGTCAACCATACGTGCGAGTATGGGCTCACCAACTAGTTCGCACACCGCTGGGCCACTTTCCTTATTCGGTGGGCATACTCTGGGAGCCTCTTATGCTGGGACCCGTTAAAACTAGTAACCGTCACGGCAGCGCTATACAAAGCATAACAATTGTTGTTCTGTGGATGTACGCGTCCGTACCCTCGTGATGGGATAGAGGTATCCCCCCAGCTGCATGAACACACATAATGCATGAGGTCCCCCTACTACATTTTCATTATCCTTTAATACAACCCCACTAGCATTAAGTACATATCATATCATTTTTCATATCGTTTCAGATATCGTTCATCATTCATATCATATCGTTTCTCATTCTTCCGTTCTCAAATCATACATAATTTCAGGTCATTTATATGGTACTTTTTATAAATGGTAATTTCAGGTGGAATGGGTGCATAAAGATGTTGTGCTCAGCCTGGAATACAATCATGAAGTTGAAAGTACCAGAGATTCTTAGAGGCATACCGTCAGAAAAGCTTACTTGACCAATTGGGTAGATCAAGAAAACAGCAGTAGCAGCTGCAACAGGAGCTGAATATGCAACAGCAATCCAAGGACGCATACCCAGACGAAAACTAAGTTCCCACTCTCGACCCATGTAACATGCTACACCAAGTAAGAAGTGTAGAACAATTAGCTCATAAGGATCACCATTATATAACCATTCATCAATGGAAGCAGCTTCCCAAATTGGGTAAAAGTGCAACCCGATAGTTGCAGGAAGTAGGGATAATGACACCAGAAATAATATTGTTTCTGTAAAGTAGAGATCCAAAACCGACTTTATCAACAAAGATTACTTTTTTTAGGCCAAGACGTTGAGAGCGAGATCTCGAATCAAATTATTGGTCTTATGATATATCTCAGTATAGAGGATGAGAACAAAGATCAGTATTTATTTATAAACTCTCCCGGTGGAGGGGTAATAGCCGGAATAGCTATTTATGATACTATGCAATTTGTGAAACCAGATATACATACAATATGCATGGGATTAGCCGCTTCAATGGGATCTTTTATTCTGGTCGGAGGAGAAATTACCAAACGTCTAGCATTCCCTCACGCTCGGCGCCAATGAGTTTTTTTTTAGACAAAAAAGAAAAACTATGCCTTCGCCATAGAAAATATGAATATTAAGTAATAATAGCATGGCACTTTGAATTCGATATGAGAATTTTTTTCTTGTTTTTTTTCTAAACCATTAGGTTATGTATCGAAAGAGTAGTATGAGATAAAAGGCATTTGCGATTTTAGCTGATTTATCGGAGGCCTCTTTCAGCGTCACAAACTTTTTTGTTTTCACGACGGAAGACTCTTAACAATATTTCTGTTATGAAAGACTACGAAATATTTTTTTTTAAGGAAAAAAAAAAGAAACTTTGGGNACAAAGATTACTTTTTTTAGGCCAAGACGTTGAGAGCGAGATCTCGAATCAAATTATTGGTCTTATGATATATCTCAGTATAGAGGATGAGAACAAAGATCAGTATTTATTTATAAACTCTCCCGGTGGAGGGGTAATAGTCGGAATTGCTATTTATGATACTATGCAATTTGTGAAACCAGATATACATACAATATGCATGGGATTAGCCGCTTCAATGGGATCTTTTATTCTGATCGGAGGAGAAATTACCAAACGTCTAGCATTCCCTCACGCTCGGCGCCAATGAGTTTTTTTTTAGACAAAAAAGAAAAACTATACCTTCGCCATAGAAAATATGAATATTAAGTGTTAATGTTTGATTAATCCACCACACCCAAATGGTGGTGAGAGTTGTCTTATTTATAATCATTTACAGACTACAGAAATAAGGTAAATTACAAATAATAAGGAAATAGCGATAAAAGGAAAGAATAATAAATGAATACAATATATTTGCATTTAGTAAAAGGGAAAATATGGTAACCGGTAATGTAAAACAAATATCTAGATATTTGCCTTATAATGAACGGTCAACTATCCTTAACACCCCCCCGCAAGCTGAGCGTCGGATTTGAACGAACATGAAGCTTGGATCTGAAAAATTCAAAGAGAGGTCGAGAAATACTCTTTGTGAAGATGTCAGCAACTTGGAGATGAGAGGGTACATATTGTGTACGAAGTTTGCCAGCGATAACTAGTTCTCGAAGGAAATGATAATCTAGTTCAACATGCTTGGCCCGCTTGTGAGAAACAGGATTAGAGCTCAAAAAAATAGCACTTTTGTTGTCACATAAGAGTAAGGGCTGCTGTGAAATAGAGACCTTGAGGTCATGCAAAAGATGCGTAACCCAAAGAAGTTCAGCAGCAGTTGTGGCAAGAGCACGATACTCAGATTCACAGCTGGAGCGTGATACAGTAGGTTGCTTTTTGGCACTCCAAGAAATGAGATTGTTACCAAGATAAATAGAATAGCCGGATGTAGAACGACGAGTATCGGGACAACCAGCCCAGTCAGCATCCGAATAAGCGACTAGCGTACTAGGAACAGTGGATGGACGAAAGATAAGACCAAAGTGGAGTGTTCCTTTAACATAGCGAAGAATACGTTTGACAGCAAGAAAGTGATCTGCAGTAGGGGCATGCAAGAATTGACTGACAGAATTGACAGCAT